TGTAAATTCCATATAAATCCCGTGCAAATTCCGTATCCAAACCATATTTTTAGTGATACGGAATTGTGCATTTTTCCGTATCCTATTATGATACGTTATTTCTAAGGAAAAAAAATCGTATAAAAACTTTATAAAAAACGTATCCAATTTTTTTATAGGGCAAATTTATAAGAAAAAAAAGACCGCACCTTTCTGGATTTTTACACTTCCTTTTATCTCATTATTTTCTATTACTATAGGAAGAAATGTAAGAAATAAACATTTGATCGACCACCTACGACTTGTACTCAGAAATTTGAGGAAATAAATTGTATAATAACTTTATATATTATATATTTTATTATTTTTATTTATATCAACATAATTTGTTTTTATCTAATTATGTATCATTGTTTAAAAAAATCATGTCAAAGATTAATAAATTTTATAAGAATAGCATACACAACCTCACTTATTATAATTATTCTTTTAGAAGGTTATATAGTTGCCGTATTACTTAGTAATAGTGTTTATTTAACTAAAGGATTGTTAGGATTAATTGCTTTAGGAATTAGTAGAATAATTGAACATACTAGAGATAAGAAAGATAATGTTAATACTGTGGTTTCTAAAATTATTAATGCACATTATTTTATGAAAGAAGATGATGATATTGACTCAATTACATAAAGTAATGTACATTATTATTATAAAAAATTAAAAATTATTCTATTTTCAAAGCTTATTCAGATTACAAAATTTTTTTAACATTTTACAACATAATAATTAAAATGTTACATGATACAACATTATAAACAATTAAATAAGCAAATATTACATGAATTCAATTCTAGGGAAATAAGGAACGGTTATAATTGAAAAAGGAAACATTGTGTTTCGTTTTTTTCATTGTGAATGATGCGCTTTTTTAATCGGAAATTCATTTCCAAAATAAGTTTATCACGTGATAAATATACAAGCGTTCAATATTTAAATATTTTTTTTTTTGACTCATATGAACTATGAAGAATATTAGATACACGGTAGTTTTTATTGATCGAAATCGGATATCAATGGTAAAAAAAAATTTTTGTAAAATTCGTGAAAGTATTAGTTATAACTTGACATAACAATACATTATATTACGTAATTAAAATTAATTTAACTTTCAGAACTAATAAATAATGTTATAACTAATTAACTGTTGTTTAATTTAATTTGTACCTGATTACTTTCATCTAACACAGATTATTTGAGTCAAGTAATTTAGATTTATCCCATGGTTCCTAGTTAAAATCTTGATATTCTCACGGGTGGTAAAAAAAATGGGTAAAAAGTCTATCAATATTAGTCAAAATAAGTATATTAAATGGCTTTATGGTACGGATACCGTGATATAAACCAGTTATATCACGGAGTCACAGAGGAATATCATGATTTTCACGGCTGCGCCATGAAAACCATTGATATCCACAGTTCCCCACAAAATAACTATTACACATAAGTCATCCTATAATTTTTTGATGTATATCATAAAATATTACCGGAAAAAAAAAGTTAGTGAAAAAATAAATAAATAATGAATCAGAAAAAGAAGACGTCTGTCGTAGCTCGATCCATAAATAACAATACATGTATATATGTATAATACTAATCTATATTACAAAAAAAAAAAAAATACAAAAAAAAATTTTGGAAAAAAAAAGGAATAATAAAACAAAACATTAATTTCGTGATCCGCAAGTCAACTGTAAAATATTCATGCGTAATTTCGATGTAAGTTTATGTCGATCATTAATAATTTTGATTTTTACAATAATTTTTTTTACATAATTTTTTACTTTTATTTGACGCCACGCCAGATTCCAATTCGTTTGCGGTTGACTCGAAAATTTTTTTCAGTACGATCTGCTGCGGTCATTCATACTATCCCAAAAAGGATAACTTTTCCGGAATCAAATTTAACCATAATAAAAAAAGGATTGGTTGGGCGCAGGCATGTTACAGGTTTTTATGTTACACAATTAAAAATTACGTGGCATTAATTAATAAATTATTCGATTTATTTGGTAAGTGCCGGAAATCTCGGAGAAATGAAGTTTAGCAGGTAAAATTCCCTTTTTACATTTTATGCACTTTTTCTTTGTTTATCCGCAAAAGAAATTAGTGATACGATAAAAATATCTGTTTATCCGCAGAAGAAATCATTGATACAATAAAAATACCTGTTTTATCCTCACAAAAGAAATTATTGATACAATAAAAATATTTCTTTGAAACGTAAAATTAACTTTTCACTGCATAAAACGTGGAATTTCCAATTAAGGTAAGTATTAAAAAATCATTTAATTCACTAGTTTCACTAGTGTAATCATTCCATCATAAAATTTCTAAATAAAGATTCTTATTCAAGGAATGTTAGCGAAACTACATAATCAATAAATAACACTATCGGGTGTATTTTCACCCGAAATTATTATAACTTTAATTGTTAATGCATATCGTGATTTTCAAGGATTTAAAAATAAAATTTTCCGTTAATTAAATATAATACCAATTTTGGTATTATTGTATATACTTTTATTATACTCAATACTCAGGATAAAATGCGATTGGTACTAATTTTATTGGTACTTCAAAAGTTCAAACGAAACTTTTGATTTTTTACCTTTTACTATTTTAATTATAATCTAACCTTTATTTTTACATATATAAGAGTCGAATTTTTCCCATAAATTTTTTTTTTTTTAATTCACAATTATCAATTTTACCTTTTAAAAAAAAAAACATGATTACTACAATTATCTCATCTCTTGAAATTTCTAATATCCCTTCTCTATTGATAATTTCTTCAATTATCTATGTAACACATTTTTATTATCGTTATTTTACTCGTCCTAACCCTTTACCAGGTCCATTTCCACTTCCAATTATTGGTAATGCATATCAACAAATTGGTTATGGAGTTGATAATTGGTTATTATCATTACATAAAAAATATGGTGATATGTATGAAATAATTTTAGCAGGTCAACGTTTAATAATATTATGTAGACCTGATTTAATTGAAAATATGAATATACCTTCAAAAAAATCTAAATATCCTAATAGATTACATAATACTGAAGGTTTCGCTGAATATGGACTTGATGGTATAGGAGTAGCATTTAATAATGATCTTAAATCTTGGAAATATAATCGTCAATTTTTTAGTCAAGCAATAATGACTCCAAGTTTTAATTATCAAGCTATTGAATGGACAAATGATTTATGGAATGAAATGGATTCTTATTGGAATAAACTTGGTGATGATTATGAATTGGATCTTATAAAATGGATGCGTAGATTTACAAATGAAATGATTTTTAAAATTTCTACTGGAACAAAAAATGATGCTATAGCTTCTTATTATAATATGTTAATCAACAATAATAATAATAATTCTTTAAATGAAAATTTAAATGAATCGAATAAATTTATTGAATCAATTGAAACTTATTTAGCAGGAATGTTTTATTTTTTCGCTTTTAATAAGTTTAGTCGTAATTATATTCCATTTATTCGTGGAAAAGCTAAGAAATTATTGAAAAATAAAGATTATTTATTTGATAAATTATATACTATTGTTAAAGAAAGAAGGATTGAGATTGAAAATACACCATTAGATCAACCACTTCGTCATGATATGTTAACGTCATTCATAACCGCGAATACATCACGTGATATCAACGCTGTGAAACATGTTGACGACGCTGATTTATTAAGACCAATGACTGATAAAGAAATTTTTAGTAATATACTCGAAGCAATGGTCGGAGGTACTGATTCCGTAAGTATTTAAAATAAATTATTTTTATTTTTTTTATTTAAAAATATTTGCTTTCAAATTTAATTAATTTTAAAATCTTTTTTAAAAATCATAGACAGCGAATTTTATTTGCTTTGTTGTATATTATCTTGGACATTATCCAGAAGTGAAACAAAGATTGATACAAGAATTTGATAGAGTTCTTGGTAATGATTTAACAAGACCAATAACAAATAAAGATCTTGATGAATTAGAATATTGTGATGCAGTTACAAAAGAAGTATATCGTCATTCTCCTATAGCTTTTTTTATTGGTCGTGTAAATGCTCAAAATGATAATATTGGAGGTTATGATTGGCCAGAAGGAACTACTTTTCAAATGCTTGCTTCAGCATTAATGAAACATAAAGATTATTGGACTGAACCTGAAAAATTTGATCCTGATAGATTTTATAGAATTGAAGAAAGTGATAAATATTTACTTGAAAAGAAAAAAATGAAGAATACTTTTCCTATATTTGGTGGTGGTATTAGAATTTGTCCTGGAAGAAAATTAGCAATTATAGAATTAAAATGTTTATTAATCTTAATTTATAGAAAATATGATGTTGAATTAGTTGATATGAATTCTCCATTAAAATTTACTTCTGATTTTATTAATGTTTGTACGGAATTAATGGTTAAGATTAAACCAAGAAAATTTCAACATAACTGATAATGTAGTCCTAGAGATAGTAAACCAAACTTTTATATTAATAAATCACTTGATTCATAATTTCATACATTTATTACGTAATATCGTGAACAGCGATTAAATCCCTATAATAAATCTATATGTATACGGAATGAATATTGTGATGCGGAATTTATACTGAATTTTTAAACTTGATTTTTCAAAAATAATTTTATCATCACTAGGCGTAACCTGTCACATCGCGCCGGGGATGATACTTGCCCATCAAGTAAGAGAGTAATAACACACTTATATTTTATTTGCCATGTAGTGTGAATAAGTTTTTATTATTATTATGATGCCATTAGTAGGAAATAAACGTAATAAATTACACAATTTATATGATTATACAAATAACAATGAATTGTGTGCAAGTGTTATAAAGTATATGAAATATTAATATTAAATGCAAATTTTATTTATCACACGAAACAAATGTTGCAGTACTGTTGAAATTTATAAATTCATTACAAAAACAATTTTGTATAAATAGTTTATTGTTACATTATTACAAAAAAAATCTTTTTTTTTTTTTTATCTCAAAAAATTTCATTGTAGCATTAAAAAAAAATGAATATATAGAAAGTAAGTAACGNGTTGTTTTATAATATTATATTAATCATTTTTTACTTAATTAATATTAGTCAGTTACTTGAATGTTAATGTAAAAATGTCCTGGAAAAAAAAAATCTCCAAAAATAATTTAATTTTAATTTTCATTGCGCGATGAATATTTTTATAAAAATGTTAATTCTAGTTGTAATTAAATATTCATTCACATTAAATAAATTATAAAATAATTATATTATACGTAGTATACTGTACGTAGTTAATTTAAAATTAAAAAGACTAATTAAAGTATCGAAAAATAATCTAAATTTCTGGAAAATCAAAATATAATTGTTTCAGTAGGTGATAAAACATGGGTCATAAAATATATCTTGGAAGAAGTCTGGCTCACTCACATATTCATTCAAACAGGTATAATAGTAGACAATTGATTATTTCACCAGAATTTATCCCAATATTTGAAGCTAATGATAGGTTAGTGTTTGTGTGACTAACGTTTAGATTAGCCTGTATAAATTAATTTTGAATTGCTGATCTGTATTTTTTATAGTTAAGACTTAAGACACGCTAGTCACGTTGTATATCTAATCCAATTCCGGTTAATGAAATTTTAATCAGAATTTTTTTTTTCCAAATATTACAAGGCGTAACCGTCGCGTTGCGCCGGGGATGATACTTGAATAAGGTCTAGTTTTTTACTATTATTATGATGGCATTAGTAGGAAATAAATGTAATAAATTACACAATTTATATGATTATACAAATAACAATGGATCGTGTGCAAGTGATATACAGTATATGAAATATTATTATTAGGTGCAAATTTATTATCATATGAAACAAATGTTGTAGTACTGTGAAATTTACAAATTCATTACAAAAACAACTTCGCATAAGTAGTTTATTGTTACATTGTTACAAAAAAACCTTTTTTTTTTATCTTAAAAAATTCCATTGTACCATTAAAAAATTACATCCTCTAGAAAAAAAAATATCTCACTAATTAATATTAAAAAAAAAATTTTCCCGAAAATTAATTATAACAATCTATTGTTACAAAAAATAAATAATTAATTAATTATGTTAGTCTATTATTGAATTATTGAGTTTGATACAAAAAAATATTATTATAAGAATCGGGAAAAAAGGCAATTCCGCAATATTGATCTGATCACCGATCCAAACCTAAATGGCGAAAGAATGTATTCGGGAAAAAAAAATTCGGTTTGAAAGAAAAAAAAACCAAATCAAAAAGGAAAAGAGGGAAAAAGCCAAACTGGAAAATAACAAAAATAAAATCATAAAAATAAAAACGAAAAAAAAATTTTGTAGGAGGAACAAAGAGGAAAATTGGGTTGAAAAAAGAAACCGAAAAGGAAAAAGAAAGAAAAAATAAAAAAAATTCGAAAGAAAAAGAAAAAAAAATTTTGGGGGAAAGAAAAAGGATAAAGAAAGAAATCGGTTTAGAAGTTAGTACCGAAAAAAATTCTGACCAAAAAGACCGAGAAAAAATTTTAAAAAAAAATTAATAATATGGTCTAAAAAAAAAAGAAAAGACCGAAAAAAATAATACAAGTTTTAAAGATTATTTAATAAAAAAAAAAAATAATAATTTTTCGGTTTTGGAAAAAAAACCAAATCTAAACGGTGAAAAGAATGAAAAATTTTTAAAAAAAGAATCGGTTGGAAAAAAACCGAAAAAAAAAAATATTGTTATGTGTCAGTTCTTTGTGTGCTTAAAAATAAGCGGTATATTTAGTGTAAGCAGAAGGATCGGTAGGGTCGGAAATTAATAGGATCGGCGTAGATCTTATACTAATTCAATTAATTCAATGTAAATCTTAACAAAAATCCGATCAAATGCGAATATGGTAAGGGATTAAACTAACCAAATACAGACAATGAATAAAAATAAAGTGTATAAGAAATAACAACACGAAAATAAAGGGTATATGGGTTTTAATTAATTTTATTAAAGATTTTTAAGAACTGTTCTAAAGAACTGAACTTTTTTTAATGCGCATTTACACTGTCTTTTTATAACAAATTTTTACTAAGAAAAATAATATCTAATATATTAAATTTATGCTACATATGCTATACATATTATATATACTATATATGCTATATATGCTATATACCCTATATATACTATATTATCTATATATACTATTTATTCTATATGTTCCCTATATACCATATATTCTATATATCGGACATATATAACATATCGAACATATTCGACATCTACTACATTGATCGGCATCACGGGTTCAATTATATCACGTGATTGCTGCGTAACAATTTACTGCGTAACATCACTCCCCGCTCAAGTTTTCAACTCCGTTGAAAATTTGAAGAGCCTTAGTTACCAATTTCTGAAATTCGGTTTGGCTAACCTCTCGGAGTAATGTGGGCGTTATTCGGATCGTGCGCATGATTTGTTCGACTCCCAGATATTCGAATAAATAGAACATTAGAGTGACAATAGTTCGGTAATGTTCCGTTAATTGTTGTCGATAATAGTTTCGTTGCTTATTATCTTTAGTTTGTCGTTCCAACAATTGTCCTAGATAAAACAAATTAACTAACCACAGGACTCTGTCACCAACTCGCTTAGATCTTTCTGTGGCTTCATTCATTAATCGGAACTTTTCCTCGAAGTTCATATTATCTTCATATAGTTTTGGATAAGGAACAACATATTCTGGTTGAGTTTCTCGTAAATTTTCAATATACACTGATATGGAGTCATTTTTTCTTTAATAATTTTAACAATCCTCAAAAAAAATCTTCAATATATATGTTGTGCGTCAAGTGTCGATTTGCGTCAGATGCAGCTGACGCGCGTCAGATGTAAATCGACACTTGACGCGCGTCAGTTAATAATTGACAACTGAGGCGCGTTGGCTGTCATCTGACGCAAGTCAGCTGTCGTCTGACGCAATTTCTTTTAATTACAATTGGTACTTTTTTATTCATCAAATTAAGAAATTTTATTGTTTTATTTTTCAAATGAACTAAAAGTTTATACAATCTCTTCCTTTAATTATTCTTTGGTAAATACTCTAAATATACAATTTTTTTAAAAATACTATTATTACGAATGATAATTATATAATAAAAATAATAAACAGATAGTAAAATTTTACTTACTTAATTAACTTCATTTTTGTTTTGGCATTGTCGACCACCATGACATCTGCTTCCACAGTTATTTCCCATTTTTCTACAATAGCACCTATTACTGTTGCAATTTCCTTTACAATTACATATTGTACCTGTGGTTGAACCTATATTTTGGAGACGTGCAGCCTCTCTAACAGTAATTGTACTTGTAGGTATTATTTCAAGTTCCGGAAATTGGTTAACACCAAGGGGGCTAATTTCTCCTGCTGAATAGAAGACATTAATGACTCCAAATTGAGAACCTAACCGATATTGATTATTAATTTTTTCCAGGATTTTGCATGGGAGCATAGGTCGGTCAGTACCAAAGCGATCAATTTTTGGAACAGAGATTCGTACTAAATCTCCAACTTCATAGTTGTTTGGTCTTTTCTTTCCCTTATTCATTTGGTTAACCATCTTTTCAGTATAATTTTCAAGGTCTCGCCGAGCAGCTTCTCTTAATATTTTATGGTTTGTAACTCTCTCTTGTGATGAAGCTTCATTTGTAATGTCAATAAGAACGGGGTCAATAGGAATAGGCTGTTCTGACGTCTCATTCTCCCTGGTTTCAAAATATACTGCTTTATCTTGGTTTTGAGAAACCTAAAATAATGAAAGTTGATAAAATTATATAAAATATTGTTAAATCATTTAATTAATTAAAAATTACACTAAAAATTTCATTAAAAATCATTAAAAATTTCGTTAAAAATCAATAAAAATTTTATTTAAAAATCAATAAAAATTATTTAATAAAATTTACAATTAAAATTAATAAATTATAATATAAAACTAATAAAATTTACGATAAAAATTAATAAAAATTATAATAACTGAAAAATCAAATAAGTAAAATAAAGATATTACCATATGAGATGATGCTGGAGAATCTAAAAAAAATAAAAAAAGCTATATTAAATATTAAGTTAAATATAATTAGTAATAATAACAACTTATTTACCAAGTAAATTTTCATTAAAATCAAAATCATTATCTAAATTTTCATCTGAACTTTCAAAATCTGCAATTTTGATCATTTCAGGAATGTTTTCTTCGTCATAAATGCCTCGGGCAAATAGTTCATCAATTAAACTACAATTTCCACGAGGTTTATCACCATAAACTAGTTCGTAAGGAGTTTTTTTATGTGATCTACAAATGGAATTATTCATGGACAAGACTACTAAACGAAGCCCATATGACCAATCTTTTCTTCCGGAAGTTTCTCTCCACTTCCCCA